TACTTTTCCACCCCTCCTAAATAGGGAAAATTTTTAAGTAGAAGAGCTTGGTTAACATGTGAATTGTTCAATTGCTTTGCTGCTCATACAACTTCAGGAAAATAAAAATATTTTAATCCTTGTTTTTTAAAATCTTTTTACATCTTATGTTTTGTAAACTCAAAAGTAAATTAGGGAATCAGTCATACACGCCTGCCATCTTCTTTAGAAAAATGACCTCAGAAACATCTACTTTCCCTGAAATATCAACATTTCCTATTATATTATACATTTTGGTCTGTGGTTTGTAGTTTAACAGTACTATTGAATAGGAGAAAAACAAAACTTATTTTGTATAATTTAAATGGGAGGAAAAGATACCTTATTATATAGACTAAGGGAGGTTGCCAAGGGCTTCTAAAATCTTGTTCTTCGTATCAATCTCTAGCTGATTTATCTGAATAGGATCCAATCTTACATAACATGTGGACTACATATAATATTCGGACACAATAGAAGGATTTCTAGAGGAATTGGAAGCATCCCGATGGTGGATTTCCTATTTCTTCCTGTTTTGAAACATTACTTAAGTGTATACTCCAAGGGTGATTTTAAATATGATCTTCTTCACAGAAAAAAAGTGCAAAAATGATTATTAAGAGAAAGAAAAGCAGGAAATCTTTTATAAATACTGTTAGGACCACTGATTCCAGTTACCTGCTATAATGTGAATGGAATCATTATGGCTGTTCCATTGACACTGTTTCTTCATTCAGGATCCTGGCCAAAGGAATAGCATGTCGATGTGTAAAATTCTAGCCAAAGATAAGCCATTACAATGGAAATCGCGATGTGCAAAGTCTCATTGAAGCCTATGAAATTGAGTGTAATATCCATACCGCATTCTCATCTGCTTGCCCCAGGATTTAGTATGCGGCTCTGCATTGAAATGAGATTATGCATATAAAATGCCAATATAGAATACAATGCCCAATAAAACATTAGAAAAGCAACTTACAGCCCACATACATGGGCTTTACTTAAATTGGAACTTCATGTGCAAAGTAAACCATAGCGCCATCAGAACACTAAATCTACACAATGTCCTCACTCTGGTTTTTCCTGCTGCTTTCTGCATGATTCCCCCCCACCCCCTCCTATCCAAACACAATTCTTTTAAGGGCACTCTTCAAATCATCTAACAATTCCCAAAGGATATTCCAGGAGTCTCTTAAAGTGTCTTTCTAAATTAAAAGACCCCGAACAATTTAAGTGCATTTTTGAACCAAAAATATCAAAAAGTATTTGGACTTGCAAACCTATGGGGGTGTGTGTAAAAAAGAAGAAAGGGGCCAAAGAGAAACCGGCCCCACAGTGGATTACAAGGTTATGGGACAGGTCACTAGGAAAGGGAAATAAAACCGAACGTTAGGTTGGGCTTGTAAATTATGCACCTTTCAGGGAAAGCGGTTTTAAGGTCTCTTCACTCAAGGGTTTTTTTTCCCCATCCATTTTACTATTAATTCTTAACTCTTTGTAGGCAGCTCTTTAATGAGGTTGTTTGTGGCAGGTTAATTTTCTCCAAACTACCGAGCTCCTCATTTTCCCTTTTAAGTGCAGTGCTGCCTAGAGCTTTCAGTATTTTCCATACCAGAAAACAAAATAATCGTGAAGTTGTCGGCGGCGCTGGGCTGAGAATTAAAGGCTTTATGTGGACAGAAAAACAGAGGGCCTGGACAGATGGGAGTGGGAGGGTAGAAATCAGGCTGAGTTGAGGGCATGAGGGAGAGAGAATTCGGTCTTAGGAGAGCGATGACCCAGGGAGTGTAATATATTAAATATTGCAGCGATCGATTTCAATATCCCAAGTGGACACGGGAATAAAAATTCACCAACAAGCTGAGGTGATTAGGAATGCTTTGTTGCAAGGGGAAAAATGTGATTTTCTTCAGATCCTTTTTGTTCAGGTTAGAAGAGGCATAGACAATCCATGTCTAAGCTTTGGACTCCCAGTTTGGGATATAACTCTAAAGGTTAGTCCTATGTCAACGGTGCTTCTGCGTCGTGAAAAGATGAGCCTTTGTACTAAGGAGGATTAAATATCAACCACAATTACAGGCTGGTGCCTCTAGGAGCTTTCCTCCCAAATCAGAGGAGGGTACATTTTGGAAATGTCCTTTCCTGTGTATTAGTCTTTGTTTCAGTGGCTCTGGGACAAAGCAGTTGCGTTTGCACAGTTCTTTCACTAAAATCCAGAGGGAAATGCACAATATAGTTTACAGAGGGTTGCTTCACAATAGCAGGACATAAAAACAGCAGTTGGTGCTATGTAGGGAAGAAATATTTTTGAAATGTCATTCCGGGGCCAAAAGTATGAAACCCGTCATATATCCAGGCACAAACACTCACTGCTGCACACGACTGTGTTAGTGACTTCAGAATTGGGTGGGATTTTCTGTTCCTTTTTCTACCAAATCCAGCTCTTAGACATTCATGCTACGAAGTGTGTTTCTCTCAGTCCAGGAATCTGTTTAGGGATTTGGGGTCATCACTGAGGAGGCTCCTTGGGGTGGGAGATTGTTTCCAGTCACAGCCTAACAGGCAGGGCCTGGGCTCTTCACACTGGGGACACCGAGTCTGCTGCTAGGGACACACTGCTGGACGTCTGCACGCGGCGGCCACCACAGCTGCCTCCTCCTTCAGTGTGTCTGCCACAAATCTGGGAAAGAAATGCAGCATGATACGAGGGATTTCTTTGATGAGGATGAGTTCCTCAGAGTGACTGGGGGCTATGGCTGCTGCTCAGGCCTCTCCTTCTCTCTGCCAGATCCCATTATATCCTTCTTTATACACCAACCTGAGGTTGGAAAAGCACACCCTTATGCGCCCGCCGCTCCCTGACCCAGAAACTGATCTCAATTTTACCCTGGTAGCTGAGTGAGGATGAACTGGAAGGTCTGAGTAGGCTGGAATCCCTGAGTAGGGCAAAACAAAATATACCTATCTCTATCTATCTATCCCCTATCTCCCCCACTCCCTTCCAGTCTTCTAATCATCTTCCATCCTAGTTAGGATGACTAGCTCCCACTTGGAGCGTGGTCCTAGGGACTAGCCATATTTCCATATGAAGCGCTTCTTCATAGCAGTAGAAGGCAGTAGAAGGAACCCTAAATCTCCCATCTCCTTTGCCCCTAAGTTGGGCCGACCCAAGTTGGGCTGGGTTAAGGCCGAGGTTGGTTGTGCAACCAGCACTTAGGCTCCTGCAGCTGGAAACTACCAGGCTCTCTGTGGAATGATGACCCTCTACAGGGAGGCTGATTCTGCCCTATAAAGCTGTTTACTTCCCTAAAGCTATATAGGTCCTTCCTCTCTTGAGGTTGGGTCCCTTCAGGTCCAGGAGCAAACTATCACTCAAAAAAGTTACTCTGAGAAGCTAGGGTTCATGAAACCCGTTCTCTCTCTTCCTGAGTGTGGGAAAGACTGAGTTAGGGGCAATTTGGATAAGAAAGAAATCTCTGTTTTGCTATGGTCCCCCTTTGGCCTTTTACTTTGCATTTCTTTTTCTTCTCTTTCTCCTGCTTCATCATCATCAGTGTCACATCAGGAAGAACAGCAGGCTGAAGACAGCAGCGGACTTGCACCGCGAGGACCTGCTGAAGCTGACTGGAGGCCTGGCTGTGTCTGGACAGGTGGCTCAGAGTGCAGAGATTCCTGCTCTTGTGTGAGCAGAGGAAAGCTGGAGAGAAGGAATCTCCTGGGTAGGGACTCTCTGTCCCAAGTTACCTAGGAGCAGGTTCTGCATCCAGGCCCTAAACGCTGGGATCCTGGAAAACCTGCTCTGCTCTGCTGTAAGGTACCTGTTGGCTTAAAGCTGCTTGGGGAGCCCTTGGGCCCCTGCCCTATTGTAAGTCTTGGGGGTTAGGTCTGGCTTCCCCTGGGGCTGCTGGATTCACCTGTCATTACGCTCACTGCCCAGGGACCCTGACAAACCTCCACAATGTGGGTCTGAAAAAGGGCGCTTAAGGTTCACTGATCTGTGTGTAGAACTTTGCAAAACTGCAAATAAGCGAGAAAATTTGTCTATTCTTGGGAAGGGGAATACAAGTTTGCACTTCACATGGAAGCATGAGAAAAAGTGTGTGTGTGTGGGGGGGGGACTTCTGGCCAAAAGCCCCACTGTAATCTCCCAGAACAATTTCATTTCCTCTGCGGCACCCTGGCTACCCTAGACGAGGCCTGCGAGAAGTCTGGGAGAAGCTTAAAAGCGGGGATGGGGCAGAGGAGAGGTGGCGAGGCCCTTAGCAAGGTCTCAGGTGAGGGCCAGGCCGGCTGCTGAGGAGACCGACAGGATGGAAGGCCGCAGGACGGGGGGAGGGACAGAGCCACGTCTTTTGGAAGGTTTTGGTGTTTTCGAGAGGGGTTTTTCGCAGGAATTCGCACGGCCTGCCTCCGGGGCAGCCCGTTGGCGCTCCCCCCCGCCCCTTCTCGCAGAGCAGGTCGCAGGGAGCTCGGGTTTCCTCGGAGGCCCCGCGCCCTGGCCGCCCGCGCTGCGCCCGCCTCGGCGCGCAGGCCTTTCCCGCTTGCTGAGAAAGGGAAAAGCGCGCGCCCCGGCTCGTGCGGGCTGGAGCGTGTCTGTGCCGAGGGAGAGCCGGTGCTCCGGGGGGAGCCAAAGTGCCCAGGCAGGCCCTATAAACCCGGCCGGCCGCGCAGGCGGGAGAAGGGACTCCTGTCGGGGCGGTCGACATCCCAGGCTGTCGCGCGGCTTCTGGGAACCCGCGGGCTACTGTGAGAGAAGCAGGCCCCGGGAAGCACGTTCTCTCTCCCTCCAAAGGGTGGTTGGAACTTTTGAACCCTTTACTTTAAAGTGATTGATCGTGTCCCACCAGAGAGCGGCTCCACCCCCGTCCCCATCTCCACCGCCTTCCCTTGTCACCTCGGCTCTAAGTGTGCGCGGAGACACGCGGGCGCGAGGGTTGGCGCGTTTGGAGATGTGAGCCGCAAACGCGAGCATTTGTGTATGAATGCGTGTCAAACAAGCAGGGCCAGAGCGGCTGTCGCGATTTTGGATGAATCCTGGTGTAAGAACCCATTACGGGAGGGTAGGAATCGCGTCTCTGCGCCCAAAGCCCTCTAAAAGAAAGACGCAAGCGACAGCTATTCCCAGGAAACCGTCTCGGCACGCCTACCTCCCGCCATGGAAGTCCTCGCAGGAGCCGGGCTCCGCACTGGGAGCCTTCAGGGAACTCAGGATGAAGGCTCACAGCCTCTACGTGAAGTTGGTCATTAATTTGGGCTGCTCGGAGCCAGTAACACACTCAAGGCCTCTGGCTTTGGGAATTGTCTCGGAGCTGGGATCCCTGCGTAGGCGACCCAGGGCTGCGGATGGGAAATGCGAGTGTTGGAGGCTCTGGGATGTGTCTGAGTGGGCTGGGTAGAGCTCCCGGGGCAAAGGTTGGCTCTTCCTCGCCCCAAATAAATTCTTGGTTAACTAGTATAGACTAAACACATTAATGTTATTAAATGGGGTAAAATAGAAGGGGTTGAAAGTGGGGGGCATGCCAACTGGACCCAGACCCGGTCATACTTCTCTTCCGGTGACAAGTCAGGATGCTTCCAACACGAAAATAGAAATGTAACATTCAACTGGACGAATTAATTTTTGACGGATTTACGGTATGATTTTCTTTCCAGCGGTATTCATCAGTTCTTTCCATCAGTAGTGCAGACCAAAGACAGAAATATAAACAAGCACTTTCTGCTTTGCGGAAACCCCTTAACAGTATCTCCCAAAGAAAGACCAAGACACTTTGTGAATTTTCCCCAGATAATGCCTCATATTCCGAATGACTGATCAGAGAACTCCGGTATTGTTAAATAAAATGAGAGGAAGGCGAATGACGTGGGAGTCGAACAATGGCATTTCTGATTCAGTTTGCTTGATTGACGTTTGGGAGCTTCATGACCCCAGGGAATAGGACTCTACGGTGAATACACCAAAACATCAACCAAGATTAGAACTCTAGATCCTGTTTTAATCCCATTTCAGTCTAAATTACAGTGGGAAAATATAAAATCTAAGAGGAGAGAATTACTCCATCATATATTGACCTAAAGTTTTAATTGCTCCAAGGGGGAAATAAAAGTGGAAAACCAATATTCTTTTCATCACTTTAGGAATAGCACTGACAAGTAAAGTGTAAGTGTTTGGGAGGGTAGGTATGAAGAATATTTAAGTGGTGTAAAATATTTTATATTTATTTCGGGAGACATACTGGAAAAATGTATAGGGAGATTTTATGCATATGTAAGAGAAAAAAATATAACCCCCTCTATTGGATAAAAAGTGAGGGTCATCAGCAAACTGATGCTAAGAAATAATTAGATACCTTTAAGGTGGAGTCTAAATTTCCATTATTATTTGGAAGTCTTCTCTATTTCGTGGGAGGGGAAATTTTTTTAATGCCAAAAGTTGTGTTAAATGTAAATTTAACCCAGGAAATTGTTGAGAGCCAATCTTCAAGTTGGAAAAACGGAATGTGTTTGAGCAAAGTCTATTTTTAACCACAGAAAAGTGTGAGATAGTGTGGGCTCTGTGTTAGGTGGGAGTAGAGTCTATGGCAACTTTGCTTTACAAAAAACATTGATTCTTCAATGGAACTTATCCTCAAACCTCAGAAACTTGAAAAATAGGAAATTTTAAGTATTATATATTAAACTGAACCGATGGTACACAGAAAGACGAAGTTGTAGTAAAAGATGTTACAGTTATATTCTCCCAATTTTTAGCAGATAAACTACAGCAAAGGGGAATGTAACAGGAAGACATAAAAATAGACCAAATATGTTAATAAATAATGGAATAGAAAGGGTTGTTGCACAATATAGGTTCACAATCTTATATTTTGAGGAGATTTTAATGAGAAGCCTCTCTGTTGCATGGGAACTGGGAATCATAAGAATTATTTACGCAGCAAGAAGGAACAAAAATTATTAGGAGCTCAGTAATCACCAAATAAACTCTGAGCTTTGAGGTTAAAAATAGACGACTATCTTCATGTTCAATTATACAGTATCAATTACTAATACAACTGATGTTTCAGCATCTCAGCGAGACAAGATACCATCTTCTATGGAGATATCTTGGTATTAATTAATGACTGCTTTATTCTCATTATTCACAAGGAAAAATAGGGGTCGTGTCACATTAAAATTAAGATTAGCTTAGTTTATCTGGGCCCTTAAACAAAGATCATTCAAAGTAATTATATTTTGAATTAACAGAGGTAGGCAATTTATCTCGTTATTATTTTTGTTGTTGTTGTTCAAAGACAGAAAATAAAGATCAGAAATAAGCAAAGTTTCATTTTTGAAGATAGAAAGAACCAAACAAACATGTCTTGACTTTTGCAATATTTCCCTTGCTAAAGGGGGAATGAGGGAACTGTATAAGACGTGACTTTGCAAAGTCAAGTCCTTCTTAACAGACTCGGATCGAAATTCTTGCTATGCAACAAGGATTCAGGTTTGATTAATTTTCTGCAAGCAACGTGACAGCGGTGTTTTAAAAGATTAATTAAAATTGAAGTGATAGGGAGCAGGAATTCAACCTGCAGAGGCGTCCCAGGCGCCTTGGGGGGCTTTGCAAGCGAGTCCCAAGCTCAAACTACGGGCTTTCCCGAGCCTGGGACGCAACTCCCCGTCTCCTGGAGAGGAACGCGGAATTTGGCAAGGCGCCCGCCTGGCCGCCTGGCATCCCGAGCTGGCCGCCAGCTCTCGGGGGTGGGGACGGGGTGTGTCCCGGGGAACCCGCTGCCGAGAGGACTGCTGGCGCGGCTCTCGACGAGCCAGTGAGGTCCAGGGTCACGCTGAGAGGCCGGAGGGGACTCCAGGAAGCCTCACGCTGATGGCCCCGGGCCTCCCAATCTCCGGAGGGAGGGAGGACACCTACTTTGTACCCGGGCTCGTGCGGAGCCCCCTCTACGATCGCGAGCGTGCGGGGCGCGTGGAAGGCGAAGGCGCATCCCCAGAGCCGCGGACGTGAAGGGCTCGGCCGCTGGGCTGCGGCTGCCGGGCCGGGGTGCAGGCCTGCACCGGCAGTCCTGCCTCGTCGGCGGAGGCTCGGGACTCTGGGAGGCCCTTCACTGCCCGACTCCCCTTACCTCTCCGCTCACTCCCGCCCCGGCTTCTCCCCCCCGCCCCCCGCAACCCTGTCCCCTCGCTCCACTACGCGACGCTTTCGCCGGAGTAAGAAATTAGCTGCTTGCAACTGTAACTGTACTGAAGGAGACACAATCGCTGGAGCCCTCGGGGTCGCGCGCGGCAGAGAGGCGATGCGGGTGGCGCCCCAGAGGGTAGGTGGGGGGAAGCCGGGGGCGTTTGTTTGCACTTCGCCTCCCTGGGGCGCCAACTACAGTGTCCCCTTCTCTCTACCTGGGGGGCTCAGGTCCTGACCTTGAGGCCGCGCCGCGCGGGGCTATCTCCCGGCTGCAAAGGCGGGCTGTGTTGCGCGCCAGCGGGTCCCCGGGACGCCCGGCGGGGGCGCTGGCCGGGCGGCTTCCCGGCTGGGGCGGGCCGGCGGCGCCGGGAAACCCCTGCCTCTGCGGCGG